AAAATTTAAAATGGAAGCTGCATTTGAATTAAATGATGTTCTTATACACCTTGGAATGATAAATGCATTTAGTGATAGCAAAGCAGATTTTACTGGTATTGTCAGTCAACAAGATGATAGAAATGGTTTATACATTAGCAAAGTAGAAAAAATGTTAATAAGGAAATGCGTATATTTTTAATATAAAATTTTAGGTTATTCACAAAGCGTTTATCGATGTCAATGAACAAGGTAAGTGTGTGTTTTTTCATAAAGTAGTGTGTTGATAAAGACAAAGGGACAGACAAAGAAATAATTAGTTTTATGTAAGCTTCAACGACTCTGAATCAGTAGTAATGATCCAGTTATGAGAAAGTTGAATTCGGAAGACATTGTGGCATCAATCAAAATCGACTCGAACCAGGAGCATTGGAATCGCATGAGATTTTCACGATGGATACGAACTAAAACCAACAGTCAGTAATGAAATTTTTAGTTCAATATCATAATGTTGTCGTAAGATATTCATCTAGCAAATATCAAGAAATAGCTAATTTGGCAACTTGAAATTCTCTGTAGGCCTTCGTTGTGTATTGTTTTTACAGTTTTTTGTGAAAACGATGCCAGGCTGCACAGCATGAGAGAGCCGTTTTCTTTAATTCATCTTGTTTTATTGGAGCTCGAGGATGACAAATCAGTTGCTTCGGAGAACTCACAAAAATTTGCATCTTTTATAGCAGCCCTTGAAATTGTTTGGTGATATTGGACTTATCAACCTTAATCTCCAACAAAAAAGTGAGAATTAAAAACACACTTATGTTAAGCTCTGTAGAATGGCATATTTTATTAAATGAAAAAAAATGAAATATAAACAATGAAAGAGTACAAAGAAGTTCTGCTTAGCAAAAAAGCAATTTTCACCCTTCTTTGTTGAATACCTTATGAAAACCCTTTGAGTTTTCTATTCTGCTTTTTCTTTACAAGTGTCGAAAGCAGCAGCAGCTGCTGCTGTAAGACTTACAAATAGATATTGAATAGCATTAGATATAAAATCAATCGAATTTGAAACTTGATCGTCCATTTTTTTATGACTAGAGAACTTAATGAAAGTATTACTTTATGTTATGGAAATATTTTTATTATAAGTCGTAGCATAGTTTGACTTTCTTCCTAAAGAAATAAAACTTCTTTCTATATTTCATCAATGTTTTCATGTTTTTCCTTTAGTTTCATCATTAACTAATAGCTTTAGTTTTGTCTAAACTAAATAATTTTTTGTTGAATGAGCTGCAAGAATCATGAAAGTAATTTAGTTAAACAAGTATTTAATTTCTGCTTGAATTAGGTTCGGAAGCTGCAGCTGCTACGGCTGTTATTATGAAAACAAAGTCACTATCAATACGTCGAACACCTGATCCAATCGAATTCAAAGCTGATCGACCATTTTTATTCTTCATTCGTGAAAGTCGACAGAATATTGTTTTATTTAGTGGCAAATTTGTTTCGCCACCAACAACTTCATAAAATGAACAATGTCTGTTTTTTTTACATATCTTATGTGCACGTATTTATTACTAATAGACGACGGGATGCATCATATATCGATCAAACTTTATTTGTCTGTTCATTTTTGAAAAAAATCGAAATCTATCTACACTCGAATTTCATAGTAAATCGATAGCAAAATAACTTGGACGAATTCTTTAATTTTTAGCTACAAATATAATTTTTCTGTGAGCATCTAGATATCCAGTATGTAAAAATGAAAACTTCGGCCTATGCTCTAATTCTTGCTATCATGGCAGATTGTTTTCATTCTTCGACATATATCCACAAGATACTGTGTTTAAATCTTGGTGTCATCAACCATAGAATGATCCGGGACAAGCCATCAACAGATATGCGTCTTTAATCGCTCTTTGAATAGCATGCTGACTATTATATGACGTACGCTTGCCCCTGTCATTAGTTAGTTAGTGTGTACTGGAAGTTCAACCAATGGAGTGCAACTAATCTACGTTAGACTAATTTTCTCTCCACAACTATAGGGAATGTTAGTTGTAGGGAAGATATCTGACTATTGAATCTGCCATTAGACATTACCAAATGCAGCAAGGTCGTCCAAAGGTACAAATATTCTTCCTTCCTTCGTGTAATTCTCAAACAGAAAGAGCACATTGCCGAGGGCTGCGGAAGTACGAGTACAAAATGTACTCGGAAATCAACATCCCTCCCATAAATTTAGAATCAGCGGAGATGTACTCTCATGTACTCTGATCGTCGTATGTATTGGGACAACGTTTAGAATAGGTGGAGATGTACTGTCATGTACTATTGTGTACTGGATCGAAAAACTTAGAATTACTTGGTATGTACTCTCATGTACTATTGAGCGTGGACATGAGTGTAGGATACGGACATTCTCTCAGACGGAGACCAACACCCACACCCACACCTGATAATATATGAGAGTACATACCAAGTAATTCTAGGTTTTTCAACCCAGTATATGATAGTACATGACAGTACAATCTTCACCAATTCTAAACTTTTTCAAGTACATATGGTGGTCAGAGTACATGAGAGTACATCCCCAACGATGTAGATGTGGAGGTGGGGTGTGCGTGTGTGGGTTTTATTCAACTGGAGACTCACACCCACACCCTCATACTAAACTCAAATATAGAAAATCACATGTGAAACCAACGCAAAGTATCATAATATGCTAAGATTTATCTTGTATTGAGAATTTCAACATCTAGCTGTTACATAGTTAGAATGAGTAGTTATATTGATGTGTAGTAAAGATCAGTTGAGGATGTCTGTTGAACTACTCCATAGAACTCTATTTAATGTAGTTTCAC